AGGGATAACATTCTAATTCAACTCCGATATATATATATATATATATATATATATAAATTTGAAAATATATATTACTCTAATATACTTGAGTCCAAAAACTGGTATAACTCAAAGAGCATAGAGTACAGCTTACTCATTGAAGTCAAGTCTGTGCTTAGTTCACTGCTTGTCGATGATGATGGCCGCTGTGCTGTAGAGGGTTCTGCTCTTAGGTCCTTAAGAGCTCAATACACTTTGGAAGACCAAGTAGCAAAGAAACAACAAATGGATAGATGACTATTAGACAGATACAATTTGTAATTTTTTTTTTCTTGGAAGACAGTGAAGTTGTACACGAGATTTCAATGAAGAGCGTTTGAGACAAAGTGAAATACATAATTACGTAAATCATATAAACAAAAATAAGCAAACGTAGGCGAAACAGAGTATGACTAACCTCCGCATCAACAACTTCCGAATCTACTATAGATTGACGATCCTTCCCCAGCAGATTGAGAACTTCAGCATGATATTTCGTATAGTGGGTGTCAAAAAATTCTACCACATGTTCTCGTTCCAAACAAAAACCATTCTAAAATTAAAATACTGCATAGTAGAACAATAACATTCTAGAACTCTTACCCCTATAAGTGATCCATACATTCGAACATGTGCCACGAATTCATCCAATACATCCTCGGGGATCGTACTGAGACTATTCTCTGGTGGGCTACCCAAAAGTTGTTGGATTTCGCGCAAGAGAACAAATGTCTGAAATTACATCAACTTAGCAACATAAAATTGTAATTGTACTTGGCGTTTGCTGCTTAAAAGGCAAATTGCTTACCGCTTCAATCAAATGAGAGATACAGATATGCTCAATCTTGCGTTCCCATCTTGAAAAAATCTTATTAGCTAGCGTGAGATCGATGCGATATCGAGCTAATGTTGATAAAAGTATAACATTAGTGGGTATATCTGTAGTCGTGAGACGTTGTGAGCGCTTTGGACGTTGTTTCTGGCATATGGGACATGCGGACGTTGCCGTCATCTGAAAAAAAAAACAGTTGACGCTCTTTCAAATTGTGGAACCCATGCCTTAACTTCGCCAATAAAGATAATGCCATGTTACTACAATCTCAGATTCATCCCCTTATTAAAGCTTTACTGTAGCATTATGGTAGGTAGACGATAACGAAGAATGAAATTACAAAATTGCCTAACCATTATGTAGCGGGTAATTTGATGCTGGACATAAAACCGGGGAGTTGGTGCTTTGAAGTTATGCATAAGTCTATGGGTTGAAAGGGTCAAAGATAATCTTGTAAGTAAAGGCCTACGCTAAAATAAGAAAGTTGGATTTTACTAATCGTTCTGATTCCGAGTCAGAAGTTGAGTATATAGCAACAACGTATGAAGTGATCAATCTAGGCAAAGCTTCAAAGTAGATCCTAATCCCAACTTTCTACCTCAGGCCTGTTGACCTCATCTACACTATGAAACGCAGTAAATGAGTTCGAGATCAGTGTGTCAAATACTCCCACTAGGCCACCTCTCAGCTGCCCATATCTACCGTACCCACTTAAGGATTTACCATACGGAATGGACATGAACCTAGTTAGCATGTCTAAACGCTCTAGCGGTCTAGCCGAAATCCACAATTTTTATATATTGATCTTAATGTATAGCATGGTACCAAACAATATGAGGGGAGATGATTATGACAAGTATACTGATTTGGAAGGAAAGAGAAAACTGATTTCGTATGTCATCAATTTTATTGAATAAATCCTTAGACATCGATATTCAATCCTGAAATAACCCCAGAGTAGCTTCATATCATTACATCCGGCTTTACAGTAGGTATTCTGCAGCACAACACGCGTGACTTCTTTGGGTTTACCTAATCTGATGAAGTTTAAAAAAAGTGGAGATCTTAAGTTTTCAACTTTATTGTAATGCCTTTTCCGCTCAAAAAAAAAACCCAAGCAGCAAGCTTTTTTTTACCAAACACAAGAGTTCTGTAGAAAGTTTCAGGTATAAAGCGATAAAATCTGCGCAATACTTCAATGAGCTTGTGGGGAAAAGGAGAAAGAATGAGGAACTGCATAGGGAAGCACAAACATACGCCCACTAACAACAAAGAATTCTTAAGATTACATTTCAGATGCAGATGGATGGTATTATATAAGAACTACTTTTTTCAGAAAAGGAGGAGAGGGTGATGAAGGGAAAGAGAATGTGTAGAACACAGGTTTGCTATCGTTGTCTATAGAATAGTTGTCTGTAGACAGTTGGTTATTCAAGGTTATTAAGTCTTCGGGTGTCTAACTGCCTCGCTGTAATTAATTTATATAAATTACATACAATTAGCAAAGCTTAAGATAATACTGCTTGACTATCTTGCTAACTATATGTGTTTAGAAGCAAAATGTAGATTCCAAAGTTGGCTCTAATGTAATGCAAAAAGAACAAAGGAAAATTCCTAACGATTTCACTGATGTAGAAGTCTAAAGCGGTGCACTTTTTAATGAGCTATATTTGTAAAA